CAACATGTTCCAGCTGAAGCACACAAGTGGCTGACACTTGCATTGCGTCAACAGTTTGCTCATCGCCCGGAAGAACCATTACAGATTGTTGGTCTGTCCAGGGACACGAATCAGTAACTGTGGTTTTACCTTCCTGATGTATCAGCCAAACCACCACCCAACCCTCAGGAACTCCTTTATTTACAACAAACTGCACAGTCATCAAACCCTCTTCCAAAAGATTTTCGACACCACCACGTCGGAATGCGACTCCATCAGGACACTTTGCATCTGCACTTTTTAATTTTTCTGCCACTTCCATGCGATCTGATTGAATAGATTCTTCGAGCAATTTCGGTTTGATCGGCTTGAAAACTTGGAGGATTTTTGTTTTTGAAATTGATGATCCGGAAATTGTTTCAACGAGACTGTCTACTTTGCTGAATTTGTCATAGGATAACTGACAAGTGACTTGCCACAACTGAATTCCTCTCACTTCACTAGGCATTTTCACAACACCAGATACATTCATTGCAGCATTCAATGATGTACCATTCACGATGTTCACAAACATTTTAACCGAACTAAGTGTTCTGTTTGACTCTTGATCATCGTCGGCCTTACCATGCAAAATATTGTGTCTTAATTTGATAGGAAGCCCTTGTGCTATTGGATACCGACAATTGACGGGTACAGAGTCCCCTGGTTTGACGGGGGCATTCGTGTTTGGCCGACACTCTTGTTCACGCCACATCGGGTCTAACTCGGCATGAATTCGCATTTGTATGATTGAAGAATCAGGTAGAACAATCAACTGACGTTCTTCAACACCAACACACTTCGGAATGGATTGACAATTGGAAACTGAACAACTGTATAATCCAGAGTCCATGAACAGTGCATGTGTTCTATGAGCGAAAAATGCTTGATTATCTTCTAAGAGCCTGATGTTTAGAGGGAAACGGATTAGCGGATGTGTTTTTGTGTAGCGACGATAGCACTGAATTTCTGGTGGACTAGTCGATTCTGATTGACCGAACATCAAGATTTCTGAGTTTATTTGAACCACAGCATTCCAACCGACGCGAATACGAACAAGTCGATACTCACCCGATAACTGAACAGGAATTTCGAGGAAATCATCGGTTTCCTCTGTTTCTGTGTCAGCGTGGTCCATCCAGTGTTCCACCGACCTTATCACTTCCGGTAAGAGGTAGTTACTCATTGGTTTGTATGTGTATTTATAATCTATTGTATGGAACACGTATAGAAGGAAAGCAATACTTGGAGGTTGGACTCGGCAAACGAATTGCATCAAAACGTATTTCGATGCATTCTTAGAGCCCATTTCTTCAGATCGCATTTTAACCTCACACAAGTCACTGATAAGGTTTGATTCATTCCAATATAAAGTCCATACCTCCGATTTTCCCGTGGGAGCACCCAAATCAACCACGAAGCTTCCACTGATGAGGCCTTCAGGAATTTTTTCCTCATTAGTGTTCAAGTGAAACGTTGTACCGTTCACTGATTTTGTGCTCTGTTGTTTCAAGTTATGTGTCAGTTCCTCATTGCTTGTTTTAATGGACGTTTCGTTAATCCGCGGAAGTCTGGGATATCGTTGTTCGATGCGTTTTGGCAGTTGGTATGTATGATAATGAGTTAGTGCGTTCACATCCAGCTTGCTTGACAGAATGCTAGAACTAAATTTGCAATAAACTGTCAAAATTGAGTTCTGTTCCAAGTCATTTGGCACGGTTACACTGTATGAGACACAGTGATGAAATCCTTTATCATCTGGAATATCTCGGCTGGTAAGCACTGTAAACGCATGCGCATTGTGTGACGTTTGATTCGGTCGTTGCTCTACGAATGCAAATGTCACCAAAGGTGGAAACAAAGTTGTACCCTTCATACGGTAGGTGCAGTGCACTACAATACTTTGTCCCGTGTACACATAGGTTGAACCCGCTTCCATTAGGGTATAATTGTCTCGACAAATCTCATTCTGTTCAAATGGTGTATGACTCATATAAAGCTCCATACTGAGTTTTCTGGGAAACACAAGAAACTGTCGTGCTGGAGAACGTTTATCACTTATACATGTTAAACATTCCATGACACGACAAATATAGTATCCAGCGTCACTCAGTCCCACGGATGGTTTGATAAACTCGTAACTCGATCTTTCCGTATTGATAAGCATCAGAAATTTTCCATTATTTGTAACAATCTCTTTCTCCTTATCTTGCAAAGTTTTCTGATAAAAACATATAGGCTTTCCTTCATTCTGTTCGCCAAGCTTTCCGAATATTACAAGAGATTCATTTTCCACAACAGAACCTCGCCAAGCTACACGCAATTTCATCAACTGATATTCTACTGTTGAATTGGGAGCAATTTGAAATGAATAATCACTTGTATCATTTGGATTAGTGACCCAATTTTGTAGTGCTGAATACACTGATTTCAAAAATAAACCTTCAACAGAAATTGCGGTTGTTTGATAGTCGAAACTGTTTGCAACCAGGAAGATAAAACCAACATGTTCTGGACTGATGGCACACAGTACATTCATAAGGAAGAAATTATTCCCACGTGCTTCTGTGTAATAATCGCTTTCAGCGATAATAGAGGGTAAGGCTTGTTTGTTCAATGGATTCGATGAACTGATGGTGCACAGATCCGGTTGAATCAGTGAACCAATACTGTAAAATAGGTACGCCTTGGCTATAGCTTTTGGGATCCCCAATCGAACCAAATATTTGATGCTCAACCACCCCTCTAGTTGCTTTGACTTTGGTGTAGCCTTGTGGAATGCAAATGCACTGGATATTGAAGAAGCCGCCTGGGCGTGCAGAGCTTTCTCTATATCTGAGCGTTCA